AGATTGGACTTAATCACTGCAAGGACGTTTTTTTGCATTCGTTATAACCTGCAAAAATAATATTAATATTGCGACGCGTTTTATGATCACTACATAATTCAAGAACTCAAATACCATAACTATACCCTATGTCTACACTATTAAATATTTATTAAAAAGAACGTCTCACCTTCGCACCCACTTCCGGTAGACAGACCATCGCCGACGTATCCGTCCGTACAATTACATGCATAACTTCCGTCTAGATTGATACAAGTAGCTAACTCCACACAATCATTATCATTGGCACATTCGTCAATATCTTGGGACGAGAATAAAAACAAACAAACAAACATCAAAATAAGTATACCAGCTCCCGAAATTGTGTGTTGTTTTGGTATCTTCCGGTGAGTCACCACAACATATTGTCTATAAACTACTAGTGTAACTGCATATTGTTTAGTTAACTATAGGGGGTTTGTGTGGAGAAACATCACTCAAGAATTGTTTGATTCAATCCAGTCTACGTTTGCACGAGGTCTGAAAGATGGCTGCCATTCAAACGCAAATCGGCCAAATATGACAACCTTGTTGCGTCTCTTTCTTCTATTGCTAATAGTGCTTGCAGGCGATGTTGAAGTAAATTCTGATTCAGATAACTCTCCTTGTTCAGAAATAGAGTCTATGAAGTCCTCACTTTCTCATGGATTTTCTAAAACACGACATAAATGCTAAAATCAATAAATTAACAGGAGAAGTTAAGAAAATTAGAGAAAAAATATACACAGAAAGGAAAGCCAGTGACAAACAAGAAGGCCAGATGAAACCTGATAACCTGATTTTCCATGGAATCAACTAAGAAGATATCAAGCATCATACGATGAATCAGAGGAAAAGTATGCGAATTTATACTTAATTATCTTGACACCGGAAACACCAGTGGCGGATCCAGCAAAATGTATTGGAGGGGGCCAAGCTACCTTAAAATTACGGAGCGTAAATCGCAGAGAAGCTATGCGTAATCCAGATGATATGAATTGTCATGCATTTGGAGGGGGCCATGGCCCCCCTGCCCCCCTGGATCCGCCACTGGGAAACATCAATATTGGATTCGAGCGTATACATCGGTTACCAGGTCGTTATGAACTCGCCAAAGGCCTTCAAGCTATCATCGCAAAGTTCAGCTATTTTAAAGACAAAGCTCGAGTATACAATTTATCCAAGAAACTCCATGATTTGAAATCCAAGTATCGTGTCAATGAAGATTATTCATCCATGGTTAATGAAGCGTAAACTTGGTACTATGTTAGTCGAGGCAAGAGCGGAGGGAAAGTGAGCGACGATGTAATACGACAGACTTGTTATTGACGATGATATCTACATATATCAAGACAATGTCGACGAATTCGGTTTAATAAACACTTATAAATAGAGGTTAGACCATTGCTCAATTACTAATAACTTTGGACGTGGTGCTAACATTATTGACACTGCTGACGACGATAACGACTCAGACAACCCAACTCAGTTTTGCATCTCAGTTTTCTTTGTTGAAATGTTGGTGGCCGAAAATACAAGCTACAGAACCCTGACTTTTGTGATTTTCTGCCAAATTATGATATAGTCAGATTATCAGTTTTAAATGTGTTAATATTGTCAGGGATAACCCAGATATAACACCGTTATTGACAGTAAACCACAAAATGGTACGTCTCAAGACATATTATAAATACAAATTAACAGGCAATACTGTGAATTATTACTTGTAGGCATAATTTATATTTCACCCGAAGGTTCTACATATTCAAATATTACTATATTCGAAGTGTTGGGAAATATGTTAGTAATATTCAATAATTTTTCTGATTGCAAAATTATTTTGTGAAAGTCGATTTTGGTTAACTTAACGCAGAGATATCATACCATGAATTAACTAAAAGCATTGATAGTCTCAAAACCGGTAAAGCACCGGGTTTCGATGGTGTTTGTCCTAATTATATTCCACGTCATTTACCAGTCCAATTTAATAATTTGTTGTTAAAACTATTCACTAAGATACTAAATGATGATTGATTTGCGCATGAATGAGCACAATCTATGAATTATCCATTACATAAAAAGGTAGCAGAGAGAAAGCACAAAAATATATACTTCTATTTTATATACTAGAATCAATAAATGGATTGAATTGAATCCTCCAATTGTTAACGAGAGAAGGCTGGTTTTCGTCAAGGATATTACACTGTTGATATTTTTTTTATGTTATACAATCATTGAACGTTATCTGTCATATCCCTGGTAGAATGTATTACATATATGTGAATTATGAAAAAGCCTTTGATCGCATTGACCGCCATCGTAAGGTAAGGCTTTTAAATGGAATCAAATCAATGTACAGAATGCAAAAACATGTACTCGTATCTCCAATGGTTTGACAGATTATTTTTAATGTTTTCGTGGGGTTCAGCAAGGTTCAATTTATTCACCTTTGCTATTTTTGTTGTATATTTAAAAAAAAATCGGGTATTCATATTAGCGTTCTGAAGTTGTTCTAGCTACTTTTTGCCGATGATCTGGCTATATTTTACAGTAATGTTATAGGTTTACAGCGTATTTTAGACCAATTTGAAAATTGGTGAAATGAGTGGAAATTATCAGTGAACAAAAACTGTTATGATTTTCATGTAAGGAGCTAGGATCCGTGCAACAGAAAAGTGGTTTCCTAAAGGAGAAAGTAAACCGGTTGTGTCTCATTACAGTTATCTTATCAAGTACAACAAATTGTACAGACCACAGATATATATACCTGTGCGATCAAGCCCTTAAGGCTCTATTTTCGGTTAAAACTTCTCTTTTTAAATTTAGTGAAGTGTCAGTTGAAACCATTATGTCTTTTTTTTGAAGGAAAAGTTGTATTAATTGTAATGTATGGATCCGAAGTGTGGGGATTTGACGAATCAAAGGATGCGGGGATAATATGACGCACGTTTTGTGAATAGGTCCTTAAAATCCCATATAACGCATAAGCCTTGCTGCTATGGGTGAACTAGGTCAACCGCGTTTCAACTTCACCCAAACAAACAATAATGACACATGCTGGGCTCGTAATTTTAAATGAATGTTATTATCCTTTCGTTTTGGTGATTCCTGTATAAATCAAGGAGTTGGTTGCGAGCAGACATTTTTTTAAATTATTTAAACAAAGATCGTGCGACATGGATTTCCAATGTTGGCAAGAACAAATCACCTCGAAACTCGAAAAATATACCAATATATATTTTTTTAGCGAGAATCGAAAGAAGTTGTCCATTTTGTGTAAATAACACCGAAAAAGACGAATACCATTTGTGTCTCATTTGTACCACCTTTCATAAATGACGTGTCAAGTATATCCCGTTATATTATCGTACTGATTATTATCCTTATCGAACTCATGAGTTGTTCTAAAGTTGCCACCGTGACTACGTAATACAGCTTCACCTCGTGTTTAAGAAACGAGACACGCTTCTCGGAGTATATTATTTATTGTGTCCTGTATATAGTGTGTTTCCTCAGTTATTATTGCTAAACTTGGATATGACTGCGTACCTGTGCAGGTAGTCACACCGTCACCCTCATATCCGTGAGAACATATACAAATATAGCTGCCTATGGTGTTATTGCATGTTGCTAACTCCAAACAAGCACTCGCATTGTTTTCGCACTCGTCGTAATCTGTAACACAAACAGAATGTTGATAACTCAAATGAATAACAATTTATAAAAGATTATAGTCTGAAATACACACACACACACACAGATTACATATACATCAGATGTCGGGGGTACCAGTCAACTGCGCTTTGAGGACGCGCGCGCAAAACTTCCGCGCCATAGTACACGCTTGAAAAAAAAATAAAGAAAAACGAAACACAAATTTTATTTTATTACAGTATTTTTATTCGACTAAAGTAAAAGTACATGTCATTGTTGTTCATTGCAGGATTGTAAAATGTTTATTTCATAAAACCAAAGAAATTCAAGATTAGTAGTACGTACCTGTATGGCGTTGTTCCCATGACTGTATGTGAACATTACCTGTTTTCACCGGAAACAGCCGGGTTCGGCTGCTCCCACTTCTTTCATGACTTCAAGACACATTCCAATAACATCAATACATGCAAAATAGTATTGGCAAAAGACTCGGTAGACTCAGCTTTATAGACATTACTCCTAGTTTTCTTGGCTGTGACAGTTCCTCAACCAACTCTGATCATGTCTGATCCGCTCAACCTAAGAAAACTCGTTTTTTGAGAAAATGTGTTCACAATAAAGAGATTGTCCCAACCGTAAGTGCAGCAATTAAAAAAAACAAATCAATAATCAGTATGCTATGATCGATTTTATAGTGTGTTATTTCAACATGGGTCTCGAATTACCTAGAATCGACTGTATGGGAACTAACTGTAGAGCTACAGCTGTCAGTATGCAGTACTGTATATTGTTGTCAGTGTTGAAATACAGTTAGTTCTTGCTTTTCATGACATAATGTTACCATGGAAAAGATTCGAATTGGCGGCTATCCTAGCGGTGAAAATAAAAAATTACGACACGAGCTGATGTCATCAACCGGACGTTTTTAGCTTCAGCTTCATTCCTATACGAATGTTTCTTTATTTATTGCGGGAGTTTGGGAATATGCCACGCTTTACCCAGAAAGAGTTTTGTGCAGATCGTGCGTCTGCCCTCATTAGTGTTTTGTTCACTGTAGCTTAAAAATGCATGGCACGCCAGATATAAGTACTGTTTCTCTTTGCTTTAACTTAAAGACAGAATATTTGAATAAAAACAACGACCGGCCATGCACGATGCGGTACACCTCGGACAACTAATAATTTTATTAATTGGCTGAGGGTACACGGACCATAGTATATACACACATACACACATTGCAAGAAAATCAGCGCCCTCTGTCAGAACTAGATGAAATTGTGAAATTGCGTCGATTGGTATTGCCTATGAGTGACCAAATGCATTGAATGGTTTTCAATTTCTATGTTGTTGTCGACATGAAAGTCGCCTTACCCCTTTTAAATCGCAATAAGAACAAACCCAAATATATGCCGAGAAGCTCCCAGACATTCAGAATTCAAACAAAAATACACACCAAATGTAAACAGCCAGCAAAAAAATGTCGAAAATTTTTTTTCATCTGTGAAACATGATTTTTCCTGTATTATATTCGTGTTTCAATAATTGCAATTATTTATGTATTCTTGCATATCTCGTTTCAGTGAAATGACGGCAAACGTCTGATACCATTTAATAATTAATAAAAAATATAGTATTTATAGTACATACGTGTAATGTTCATTTCTTCAGTGGTTTGAGCATACGTTGATTGAATTAAAGAACCAATGCATACAGTAATAACCAGTGCAATCTGATGCCTTGAGATCTTTTGAGAAGTTAAAAAGAGAATTTAAATGAAAAGTACCTATGAATAAGCTACAGACAGGAAGAAAGAAATAATAATAACGTAGTCATGTTTATAGAGCAGATTTTTCATCAACAGTACATTCAAGTACTGTAGAATACTTTATTTTCGCTTGGAATTTATTTTTTGCTATTTTCGCTGAAGGGATGATTCCTTGAAAATAAAATCCAGCGAATATACTTTTTTTCCTATATTTCACATTAAACTCATCAAAAATCAGTGAAAATAAATTCCAAGCAAAACGCCCAAAAAGCCTTTTCAGCGAAAATTAATTCCAGCAAAAATAAAGTATTCCACAGTATTAAACGTAAGTCTCACGTGACCCTTGGACAGCAACATTTCAATCAAATTATAACAAATTCATTGTGTTATATATCAGTAAATTGATTTCATTAATAAAAGTTAATGTATTCATGATTTCGTGACATATGGCTGACTAATGTAATATAAGATGGATAGATAGATGAAGTCTGTTTGTACTTTTAATGTAGATTGTAATATATAACGTCCTTCCAATATTCCCGCAAAGAGCCTGGTGCCCTATGTACACCTCTTTATTTTGTTTGGATGAGAACTGGTATCTGTTTGTTGCCATCACAACGCATCACATTGTGTTACTATGCGCTAAACATTCCGGGGGTTGGTAGAATATGTGACTATAACAACAAATATACAAAATTTGCGACAAATTTTAATTTTCCCAGTGTCAAAGAAAAATGTACGCTCTTCCAGTCAACCATTTACGTCACAAAATCATTCCATCACTAGAGATGGAAATTATTCACAGTATCGCTGCATCAGAAAAAAGACATGTCAGTCGAGTCGACTCGGATGCATAGATAAAAGCAGGATTTGGTGAGTTGAAAACAAAACTGCCCAATAATTACAAGCTACTCTCTGATTGGTCTGACTGTTGGGTGTTAGGATCACCTTTTTCACATAATTCACTAAATTTGGCAAAATAATACTGAATGTATTTTTCTCACGAAACAACACAATGTTTCTGAAACTATGCCGTTGCTACACACCCGATAATGATCTCTAAGTTAAACAAGTCGAGACATTCTTCTAGTCCACCCAAACACCATGAATAAAATCGTTGCATTGCGTGAATTCATAATTATACTCATTCGCAACCGTGACGTATAAGTATTATTCAAATCACATTAAGATAATAATAACATAAATAATTAATAATAATTATTAAATAATTCTACTCACCTTATATACACATCTGTTCATTGTAGCAATCTCCATGATACATGTGATATATAATTATGCATAATAAGAATCTATGGGACACGACGTGTATAAGCGGATTACCATGGTTACCATCTACTATCAAACATGATCGATTCAAGTAAGTCCAATTATTTACCGAGCCTAAGTTTAATAATAGTTGTAATCGATTGATTTTAATTTCATTCACGTTATGATCAATCGTAAAACGACATCGATCTATATTAGATACATATGTAAGTTAAAATATACAACAAATTGAATAACTACTGGGAACAACTGTTGTTATCTTTCAATTCACAAAGTAATCCCTCATTATTTATTGCGCATTGTTTAAGCATTTGACCGAGACATGACACTAACTCAGAAATGTGTTCATTTAAATAACACATGAAAACGTGAAAAATATTGCTGCAGCACCAAATATTTGACACGGAAAATATGGCGATCGAAGAATTCAAATATCATGCAATTCCCACGTGTTCACTGTTCTGTCGTTGACCAAACTGCATCGCCAATCTGTGTCACGTGATGCGGGATATACTAGTACATAATTACTTCGCTCAGGAATTTAAAAGTTAGTCATATCAAATATAGACATTTGTTCCAATGAATGTATTTTTGTTTGTACATTGATATTTACATAATTTATATAACCTTCGCTCAACAAAATAGGTAGTGTTTATAAATGTTCTTGATATATTTCTAATTAGTATGCACTCTGAATATTAATAATCCAGGTGAAATTCGTCTAGTCCGAGTCGTTACACGGTGTGCCTTCAAATTTCGTGTCAAATAAACAATGCATTTATACGCGTTCTATGCATTTTGCTACGTTAATTGTGGTGCTTCGATACATCTCTGTTATTCGAACGAACACATGGATTATTTTCTTGCCTCGAAACAAATATACTTTCACAGTATTTAAATATTGATGGAAACCAACACATAAATATTAGTTGCCTGTGACACACGACACAAATCTTTGAAGCAACTAAAGCAAAATGCACAATTTATGAGAAATTTGCAAATAACTATTTTTCACATTTCACACTAATTTTACTATTTACCGGTATATATTATGTACTGTCAATCTCAAATTGTTTGAATAATGATGAAATGAGAAAAAAATACATATTTTTGCAGATAAATATGCAATACATGTTATAACATATCTACATGTATATTACATCACTGGAAAATAAATGTCCAGTATTTGTAAACAATTATAATACAATTGGCCTTCCCATTGAGTCTGTGGCACACTCATCCAGGGCAGGGGTCGACCCTTTTTGGTGTTCACTAGAGGGTAAAATATGTATCCATTGTTAAAGCGGGGGGGGGGTCGTCACCTGCGCATGCGTCAGATGGCCATAGCGTGTCATTGTTTACAAACAAGCGTCTACCCATGAGCCTTTGCGTTTTTAGCGTGTGTTGTTATTGTCGCTTGTGACTCAATTCCCGCGCGTGCGCGGGTGACGACCCTCCTGCTTTTAACTTCCGGCGATCTATTATAAATTGAACATACACACAAAACAAACACGCAAATCACCAAATAAATGGATAAATATTCATTGAACTGTGAAGTGAATAATGAAAGAAACAATTCAATGTTTTGCTTTCCCTGCCACGCCTGGCTGAATTATTTGCAGTGTGGACGTTGATATATCATTGTAAGAACTCATTATGTATGCATTATGACGTCATGGTATTCAAATTTTAACACGTGAAGTGTCACAATTACGTATTCCCCTACTACCTCCGGTCCTATCAACGCGTGTGACAGTGTCCGATGAGGGCGCAATATACATTTCTTCAGCTACATTCATCAGGTAATCGGCGTATTCTTTTGTTATAGCAACATTTGACACTTGTCAATACATGTACCGAGAGTGTGTCCGTGGGTGTGAGTATAGATTGTCTGTCTGTCTCGTTGTGCGCCAGACCTTCACGGCGGTCGACGCACTCACAAACAAAGCATCCTCAAAAGAAAAGGAAG